CGGCGCGGAGGGACGGCGGCGGGCCACGCGGCGCCCTCTGGTTGGCCGCGGACGGCGGCGGGGTGACGTGGCAGATCCTGATTGGGCGAAACGACGTGTCCGGCGGACATGTCCGGCGCGGACGGACATGTCCGGCGGCGCGGAGGAGTTTGGCTAGGGTTTGGACTGCGGGAATTTCGGGGGAGGCCACATATTTATAGGTAGAGGGAGCTAGGAGTGTCCAAATGAGGAGCGGTTTTCGCCCACACGATCATGATCGAACGACCGAGAGCATGGAGGGGAGTTTGCTGGGTTTTGGGCCACTTTGGAGGGGTGTTGGGCTGCAAAGAGAAAGGGGGGTTTCGGGCTACACGGTTAACCGTTGGAGTACCAAACGACCTCCAAATGGCGCGAAACTTGACAGGCGGTCTACCGGTAGTATACCAAGGCCGCTAGGCAAACCTCGGGCCATTCCGAGAAAGTTTAACACCCGCTCACAACGAGAGACAAAAGGGGAACGCCGGATGACATAGGAACACCGGATCGCGAAACGGACAACGGGGAAAATGCTCGGATGCATGAGATAAACACGTATGCAAAATGAAATGCACATGATGACATGATAAAATGCAACACGCAAGCAAATGACATGGCAACAACAGCAAATAACTGGCAGACACCTGGCGCATCGAATCCGGGGCGTTACAATGTCGGCGATGTAATTCAAACTTCCAAACCCGACCTGATGGCCAGGGGCGTAGCTATCGATCTGCTCCAGATGGCCAAGCAAGTTGGCCCGCAGTGCGAAGCCGCTAAATACGAAGATCTGCCTGGGGAGAAAAGTCTTGCCCTGGAATTCATCATTATAGATGATTGAGGGAGCCATCAAGCCTTACGACGACAATGCAGTGGAACTCTCAATGTAAGCACCAATGTCGGTGTCAAAACCGGCGGATCTCGGGTAGGGGGTCCCGAACTGCGCGTCTAAGGCTAATGGTAATAGGAGGCGGGGGGCACGATTTTACCCAGGTTCGGGCCCTCTCTATGGAGGTAATACCCTACTTCCTGCTTGATTGATCTTGATGATATGAGTATTACAAGAGTTGATTTACTACGAGATCGAGGATGCTAACCCTAGAAGCTAGCCTATGATTATGATTGTTGTCCTTGTCCTACGGACTAAACCCTCCGGTTTATATAGACATCAGAGGGGGCTAGGGTTACACAGAGTCGGTTACAGAGAAGGAAATCTACATATCCGAATCGCCAAGCTTGCCTTCCACGCAAAGGAGAGTCCCATCCGGACACGAGACGAAGTCTTCTATCTTGTATCTTCATAGTCCAACAGTCCGGCCAAAGTATATAATCCGGCTGTCCGAGGACCCCTTAATCCAGGACTCCCTCAGTCGTGACGGGAGAGGAGGCACCGTTTAAATAGCGGGCACCGGTCAGGACACGCGCCGTGGTGTATCAATGCGAGCGCCGAGTAGTTTTCCCAATCTCCACACCAGTTTAATGCTTCAGCAGGTGAGCAGACGAGAACCGACATGAATGTGGTACACAACCGTCCAGTACCGTCCGGTCATGGTTCTCTGGCATTGGGACAGGCACGGAGACAGGGCGGCACTCTCGGCCGGCGTGCTACTATAATGCCGGCTCCAAATAGAGGTCGTGTCCGCTTGTAGGCCGGCATGAATGTGTCGCTGCCGCTTTGGAGCGGTGCAGGCTGGCATGAATACGCGACAACCGCTTCACGTGGGAGAGGGCGCGAGCGTGGGAGTGATTTTCCAGTGGGTCCGGGGTGTCCGACGCTTGTGTCGCCGCGGTCTGGACCAATGGGGTGAGAAAATGCGACCGGACCGCTCGGTCCGGACAGATGTGGACGGTTTAAGGATCAACGATGAAGATGTACTTGGGTATGAATTATCTTACTGTTGTTTGCCCTCTAGATGGTCACACCACACCACATGGTGGTGGCTAACAAGTTGATGCATGCGGGGAGATGCGAGATTCCATGTTGAGAATATTATGGCACGCACAAGCCACCATCAACACCGAAAAATATGCAAGGAAAGTTGATGGCGACCTATGATTGCACCAACCGATCTTTCTTGGATGAATTAAATCAAACCGCCAGCTAGATTATAGCTCCAGATTCACAAGCAAAAAATGCTTAAAATTAAGAGAAGCCAACAGTATAAAAACAGACAAGGAAGACAAGGGTCCTTGGAGAGGAAAGAGACAGCCATCCTACCGAATCATACACCACCACCAGCCTGTGGGAGGCCATAAATTAAAATTAAACTAGAACCAAAATGACACCCCCCAGCTAGCCCATGACACTAGGGAACAACAACAATCAACTGTCCAGATCGATGGATTCCATTAGACAAAACCACACTCTCAGCTTGCTTCTAGCAGACCAGAAGAAGACTACTGAAACTAGCTAAGTGCTGTGTTCTGCCATGAGAAAAGACAGACGGACGGAGAGACAGACTTCAGGGGAGCGCCAAGTAGCAGAGGAGGAGGATGGCGATGGAGGCCGCCAGTCTGATCGACGGAAGCAAGCCGGCCGCCGCGGCGGTGCCGTCCATGCTCCCGGTCGTCGGGCTGAACCCGGTGCTGTTGAAGCCGGTGCCCATCCCGGGGCTGAAGGTGCCCCCCGTAGTTGTCCCGGTGCCCGTAGTCGTCGTCCCGGTGCCCGTGGTTGTCCCGGTGCCCGTCGTGGCTGTCCCGGTGCCCGTGGTGGTGCCGGCGGCACTGCGTCAAAGAGAAGAAAAAACATCCACGTCAAAATGCATCATGGCGTCATATGCCTCTGTGTTTCCAAGCTTGCACACCGAACCTAATATGTTAGTCGCACGCTCTGACACTTGAACTGTATTATCATAATAGTCTTTGGAAAGCTGGAGCTTTCCCTAGAGTATATTAGTACAATAATCGCTAATAGCTCTGCCAGTGAAGCTTCCTTTTCGTCTACAGACATGATGCACATGCTGGAAGAACGCCTGTCTGAACTTTTTAGCTCAGATGCGACGATCAACCGTATGGAAAGTTTAATTAGCGCATCTCCTTTTTGTCTAGCTTAGCCATGACAAAACCGCAAGACACCGAAGCCAAACAAAGATGTCTTTTGGCCTTTTCATGAGCCTTTTGTTCTACTTCAACGTAACGAGCCGTCCGATTCTACAATCAAATTCAGGAAAATGCCGGAAGAAACGAGACGAGCACTGGAAGATATTGTGCGACTTAACGTATGAGAGAGGATGAAGATTGTACCTGGCACTGGAAGGGAACGTGCACCCGGAGAAACCTGAAAGAAGAACAACGGAGGACGAACGTACGTGAGGAAGAATCCATCCAAGGATGTCATGTGGAATGGCAATGCGACCGACGAGGCCGCACTGGTGATGGTGAGCAGGACGTACTGGGGTCGGTGGTGGAGAGGGTGGCGGCGCCGGTGAAGTCGCAGGTGGCGCCGGAGGACCTGAACTTCTGGAAGTAGCTGTTGGCGGCCCAGGAGCAGTGCGAGGCGACCTCGTCGGGGCTGTAGCACGCCCCGCTCTGCGCGATGGCCGTGCAGTCCGCGCCCTGTCCGCACGCGTAGTCGATCGCCTTCTGCAGCACCGCCGTGGGCTGGTCCGACCGGCACACGCAGAAATCTGCCACGCACACAAGAGGGAAGACGAACAGACATGGATTTTGCTCAGTCGAGCAAACCTCATTGAAGGAGCCAAGGAAGCATGAAGCATCTCTCATGCTCAAAAAACAGAGTAATTCAAGTAGGACGCTCAAAGAACAGAGCATTACAGCTATAGCCCACCTGAGGCAACAAGAGCTGGGGACAGGAGGAGCACCGCCACCACCAGAACCAGTGTTGCCTCCATCATCAACGAGCCACACCCAAGATCGCCAAAGAAACAGATCGCGATGCTGGGACAACCACCGGAGAGCTCGGGCAGGCTCTGAGCCGTAAGAATTCTCCAAGCTCTGCTCTGGGTAGCTAGGCAGTCGCGATCCTCCGTCCGGTGCGAGGAAGCCTCTTGGCGTAGTGCAGGAGCGGGCCGGCGCGCGGTTGGGTGAGTGAGGTAGGCCGCAGGCAGCTACCTCGTTTTCTACTTAAGATTAGGAGGAGAGCGTGCGCGCTGCGCACTGTGTGAGAGTGTGACTGATGAACCGGTTGGTGGCGAGGCGAGGCTACAGGACGACGCACGATTCTGCGCCTGCGCCTGCGCCAAAAGCAGTTTGGTGCGTTCGTCGGTTCCATCAGTCCGATCTTTCTTTTCTCCTTCGTTTCCTTCCTTTATTTACGGCTTCTTCAAGTAACATGGGACAGGTCGACGCTGGCGTGGGGATCTGCCCGTTCACCCGTTCTGACAGGGTTTCGATTTTACTAATGCCGCTTGCTCTCGTGGGCGAGGACGGAGGCCTGCATCTTCATCGCTTCAAGTCGGTTTTAAGGAAAGGTCTCCGTCGCTGGTCGCTGCAAGTTTCTCCTCTCCGTTGACAAATATTGGAACCAACTTCTCAAAGTACCGCGGGGAAATTTCTCCATGGTCCTGGATCTCTCCTTTACAGGAAAAGAAAGGTTAACGCAGTGTCGATTGGAGAAAACTGGATATTCGGCACTTTGAGCATCTCACTTTGGAAAATTTCCAACGTCCATATGGACATTGCAAAATTGCCGCCCAACTCTTTTTTTTAAAAGGAGGATGACCACCGACCTCTGCATCCTCCTTCTCAAAGTGCTGAGAAGATTGACCAGCTCATGGAAATCGTTTCTTCTCCGAGTCAGTCTTCCGGGTTCCGATCCTCCTTAGGTTCGTCTATTGGAACAGATTACGCGAAACACTGTCGTGGAATCATGCCAACTCCTCAGGCGGGGAGGTTCGAGTTTCTCGTCGTGCATATGCAACGACGATATTAGGTGTCAGGTTCTTCAGACCGATTCAAGAATTCAACGGCAACGACTACGGCTCCGGGGCGCTGGTCCGTAGGGCACCTGCACGAAAACTTCCCTGCTGTCATCAACAAGCTCGGCCCGGTTCTGGTATGGGAGTGGCGACAGTGACGCGTCAACAGCTCATTCTGGTCGTTTGATGGTTCATGGACCTTGATGTAATTTTTGTTATATTTGAGGTGTTTTGTACTTTCAGTGGATCTTTATAATATCTGGTCTTTTTGCATAAAATGCTTCGATGTTGGCCCAGTGGCGTCTCTGTGTTACGCTTGCTCGTAGCTCGACCATGCCGACGCAACTCACCCTCATTTGTCCAACGTCGCAGCTCGCAACAAAACGTGTAGGAAGAGTGTTGTAGTGCGGAGGCGACAACGAACAACAACACAATGGCGCGGCAGCGGCAGCGGCACCAGCCGAACCTTTTTTTTTTTGGTGGTTACAGGAGGAAGTAGAGGATCTGTTAAAAGCTTAGCTAGCATCAACAAGTTTGGTGATAAGATATGATAGACATAATTTAAGAGTGATGCTCCTATATTTATTTCATATTTTTTGATAACTTTTAAAGCGTTAAAAGTTTTTTAGGGATAAAGCATCAAAAGCTTAGGGCATCTCCAACAGCGACCCGCAAATTGCATCCTGCATTCGTCCACGGACAGGGGTACTAGAGCGCGCACACGGATGCGGGAGGAGGCCATCGAACGCTGCTCGCATACATTTCAATAACTTTTTGATCCAACCAGATAAAATTCGTGCAAACACGATTGATTTCATACAAACTGGATGAAAACATTCACATTTTGGACATTTTAACTAAAAAGGCAAAATTATGTGTACGCGGAGCTCCACTCCAGCGACATGGATACACTACACTAGTCTACGGCCAGCCACAACGGATCCCTTTGTCTTTTCCATATCCGGCAACCCGCTCATCGGACTGTTGGGAGCCCCGGAGGTATATTCTTCCCCTGTATCTTCCCTATGTCCGGAGGAGATGGGTGCCTACTCCGCTTCTGTGAAGCCGAGGCGAGGATCGATGATGGTCTGCGCTGAACTGGGCAAGTCATGTTCACGCCGACGACGCGCCGGCAGTGGCCTTCCTGGGACCCAAGCGACGGCGGCCTACCGCGTTCTACTTCTCCTCAATGATGGCAGTGGCGGCGGCGTGGACGCGCTGGCCACCGACTCATCGATCTCCACGTTTTTCTCCATTGACCAATGCGTTCCAACAACGTTGACGGTGGATGGCCATATGTCTGGCCTCATCCATGGTATCCATGATGCCCGTTTCGCCGTGCTCCCCCGCGTGTTGCCTGGAGCTACTCGCCACTCTTCCGCGAGTTGGCTTGGAGCGACGAGGTTCTTAACCACGCACCGGCTTGGAGCGACAGCTTGCTCCGTCAGGCTAGGGAGGGAGGTAGAGCAGTGAGTTGCCTTGCTCGTATCCAACGAGCTTGGTGGGTCTCCCAGCTGGCTTTTATGCTGGAGAACTGGTCTTCCTGCTCGTCGGATGCCATCAGAAGGATGGATATATTGGTGAAAGATGAAGATGGGAGCAACGAAGTGGTGCAATACTTGCCCGACGTCTGGCCTCCTTTAAATAGCGGGTTCACGGGAGGAGCTACTCCGGAGTTATGGTTAACGTCGACCCGCTTGTGAACGGACATATGGCCGGAGTAGTTTTCCGAGCACACGCGCGGGTTTAGTGGAGACGTTTGAATGCAGCGAAGAGGCGTATTTAGCCGGACGTGCAGCAGGCGGCGCCCTCAGCTTGCGCGTCGCTTCAATGGTGGAGGCAGTGAGAGTCCGTGTCTGCTCTGAGCCGACTTCAATGTGGAGCGGCCGTTCTACGATGACATAAATGCAGGTAGCTAGCGCCGGATGGGACTCGCGCGGGCGAGGGAGAATGTTTGGGGTGGGTCAGGATGGTCAGAAGCGGGCGCGGCTGTTGTCTAGACACCTGCAAAGCCCTCACATTTGTCCTCGGTTTACGGGAAAAAGTATGTCTATATCACCTTGCGGACCGATGCAGAACCGCGTTGGATGACGCATCACATTGAACCATGCGGACCGGATGTTTGGGCGCGGTTTGAGGGTTGGCATTGAAAATGTCCTTAGCGAGCCTGACCAAAATTCAGTTGTAAGATATCAACATTTTTTTCTATAAAGCTCGTCAAACTTAAAGAGGTTCGACCCACGTTTAATCGGGATAAACTCATGCCATCACGAAAGCTGGCCCGTCCGATCACCGTTTGAATTATTCTCCAGCCGTTGATTTGTATATTAGATCTGGTGCCAAGCCAAGGGTTGGACGCAACTCTCGGCCCTCGGGTCACGGACACCAGATCATCCCACGACCTCATCCCGGTCAGCTGTCCCCTCTGCATTTATCCGTCACCTCACGAGCTCATCCACGGCGCCTCTCTCCGTCACCCGCGTCGCCGCAGCCCCCCGCCTCTTCTTTCTTTCTCTCGGTGTCCATCAGCTCCGGTGTTTCCATGATAGATTGGAGGACGGGGAGGAGAAGGAAGGAGCCGCCGTAGTCAGCGCCATGGTGGATGAGGCAGGCAACAGAGGAGGATGGGTATGAATCACAAGAAAGGTAATGTTCAGCAACTTGTCGAGACATACACGATGCGCATGGCCTGCATGCTGCAGGTCCAATCGTTCCTCCTCTACCTCCTTATTTACTTCTGATATCGACTACAGGCATTAGGCAATGCACTCTAAAGTGTTTGGTGAATTGTTTGCTTGCCAAGAAAGTGGTTTTAGATAGATGCACTGCAAAACACGAACGTTATTGGAAGAAAAGGAACACGTACGGGTATTTTGTTTCTCTAATGGACCTAAAAGTATGTGCTTTACCATGAATTTTGTTTTGGTCTTCTGTAATGGTGTCCTAAAAATCCTATTTTCCTTGAAAATTACACTTGTTTTTTAGCAAATTATTTCCTTGAAGCTACTGTTTTTTAAGGTTTGTGTAATTAGACGCGGATTTGTGGAACGTGGTTCCACGTGCATCCCTTATAAATAGTAAATCCAAAAAAACTAGAAAAAGAGAAAAACAATCAGACTTTTTCTGTAATATACATGGTCGATTGTGTACTCGCGTATGAAGTTTCACGAAGAAATGACATCCGTGGTATTTTGGGCAAAATGACAGATGGAAGTTTTATTCAAAAGCACTGTTTGACAGGAACAGTATGGTTGGATTATATTTTCTTCACTAAGAAATACACCGGGTGTCCCTCCTGCACCGAACTTCACACATGAGTATGGTCGGGTCGACCAAGTTTGATACCTCAAAATTTCAGATTTTTTTAATAAAAATTCGAGTATTTTTTATTTACTATTTACATAGGTGCATGTGGAACCACGTTCACCTTAGTAATTTCGTTTTGTATTTTTGCTAATTTATTATAGGCAAGGTCTGCAAGAGTTGTCACTTATGTATATGCTCCACGGTAAATTATTTGTTTTGCCTTTTCTACGAATGCAAACTCCGAGTAACCGAGCCATGCGTTTTTTTCCACTTTGGTACAAAAAGTAAGCCCGTGTTAATTTGCACTAAACAGAGTATATAGAAACATTGACTCGGTTTCTAGAGGTATTTTCTGTGCTAAAATGACAATAGGCTCTTCTATCACCTATTTTCATAAACCAATATAATGCATATGCCACACTTCTTCTCGCTGATGTCCATTTTAGATTCCTTCTGTAGTACCTGACATGTTGTCAAACTCATATACGATGCGGCAGCGATGGAACGAGATGATATATTAATAGACTTAGCTCTGCACAGAAGGTGATCTATGTGTGTGAGATGAGAATATGCACATTATGCGTTATCAATCTCTGCATGAGCATAAGAAGATTCTCAAATGATTGTGTGGAGAATACTACAACCTGAACATCTATCTACTAGGAATTGGA